CTATTTTCTTATTCCCCAAAATATGTGGTGTGTTCTTTTGAGCTGAAAAATGTTTCAATCCTGTGATTATCAGTTTTACAAAGTATGAATAGAAAGTTAGTGTGGCTTATCTACAAACTTTACAGAGTTGATATATATATATTTGCATATTTTTCCTTTCAAAGTGATCACTTTAGAAAGCTGTGTATTTCAGCAGTGCAGCTATTGCTCAGAACACATTCAGTGTTCCTCATTGAGAAATGGGCTTCACAACCTTAGGTGTCTTTTTTTTAAATAAAAATCTATATTGACAGCCAGGCACGCATGCACAGTAGGTCACAGCTGCAAACCCAATACTCTGGGAGGCTGAGGAGAGAGGATTGCAAACCTAGGTTGTATAGTCTACTATATATACAGCTAGGCTATATGGTACTGCTCTTAGGCTACAAACCTGTGTAATATGTTACTAGACTGAATACCATAGGCAGTTATAAAACGAATGGTAAGTAATTATGTATGTAAACATAGAAAAGGCACAGTAAAAATATGGCACAAAAGATAAAACATTGTACACCTGTATAGGGTACTCACTGTGAATGGAGCTTACAGGATCAGAAGTTGCTCTGGGTGAGTCAGTAAGTAGTCAGTGAATGTGAAGGCCTGGGACATTACTGTACACTACTGTAGACTTCATAAACACAGTACACTTAGGCTACACTAAATTTACTTAAAAATTTTTCTTCAATAATATGTTAACCTTCGCTTACTATAACTTTTTTGCTTTTTAAGCTTTTTCATTTCTTAACTTTTTTAACTTAGCTTAAAATACCATCACATTGTATACTTGTACTAAAATATTTTTTCTTTATATTCTTATTCTATAAGCTTTTTTCTAATTTTAAATTTCTTATTTAAAAAAAAATTTTAAACTTTTTTGTTAAAAACTAAGACACAAACATACACATTAGCCTAGGCCTACATAGGGTTATAAGTAGGAGGAGGAGTACACTCTAAAATAATAATAAGCAGGTATAGGATAGAAAATATATAAACTAGTAATGTAGTCATTTATTATTATCAAGTATTATATACTGAATTATATGTGCTATACTTTTAAATGACTGACAGCACAGGTTTGTTTACACCCATATAACCACAAACATATAACTAATGCATTGTTCTGTGACCTTACAGTGGCTGTGATGTCACTAGACAATAGCAATTTTTTAGCTTCATTATAATTTTGTGGGACTGCCATCATTATTAACCAAAATGCTGTTGTGGGCCGTATGACTGTATTTTAATCATGTCATTTGTGCATGTATATGTATCAACATACATACACATATTAGACTGTTCTAGTACATATGCATATTACCATTTTTAGTTAAAAATTTTTGACTATACAATGTCATAATTAAGATTTTTCTAGGAGACATGACTATATTGAATATAGCTTTAGCTAACTAGTGGAATCCATCTTTTCAATACAGTAAATGAAAACCAAAAAAGGGAAAACCAGAGAGACCATCCTTGTATGGCTTTTCTACACCAGAGTAGAGCATCTCTTTTCTTCTCTTGCATAGTAATTTGGCTAGTGGAAGATTGGGTCACTTTAAATGATAGCTTTGAAGAAATGGTGTTTATTATTATATCACAAAACAAGTTAGTGCAAGGACTGTCTAATATCTTGCTTCTCTGAGCAGTCTTCAAGTGTGAATGAAAAACTGGAGAGGCTTTGTGGGAACTGCCCTAATGTAGTATGCTGTTGGGCCAAATGCCCTACTAGCCTACTACTTTGTGTGTGGGGCACGTCCATGAAAGGGTTGGTTTTAAAGATTCTGAACAGCACAGGTATTTACACTGATGAAATATACTGGTAGGCACAATAAATCTTCTTTTAAAAAAAAACACCTCAAATACAGGGAAGTACTAGAGAATCTAATGGGAGAAAGAATATTTTGTTATTAAACTTCTAAGAAGATAAAAAAGAAAATAGGGTATATAACATACAAAAATGGTTACATCTATGATTATAGAATTTTTGTTTTAATACTTATGTTTGTGACACAAGTCTCCTCATTATAATCACTAAACAATAGTCCATGAATGTGTATTTCATTACCTATAAGCATTATAGTATTTCATAGTTAATGAACTTTTACATGTCATTCTTAGCCCACATTTTTATATATAAATTCATACTTTAAAAAACTGTCAATCTTGACATCTAGGTTTACTCACACTATATATAAAGGTTTAATTTTTAAAAGTATTATGCTAAGCCTGATGGATGGATGGATGGATGAATTGATGGATGGGCAGGTTTACTTCGTAAATACTTGAAAATAATGAAAAAGAGGTAACAAAGATATTTGCTTTCTTTTCTTTTTTCTCAAACAGGGAAGCCTATAGCAAACTTTTATCTCACCTAGGACCAATGGGACAAGATGAGATGCAGAAACTGGAAAATGATAATACCTAATATATTTTGTGCTTCATCTTATCTATTAATTATCACTATCTGAAGCCACTTTGCACCACTCTAATTCCTATTTTTAATTAATTGTATAATGTTCTGGTAAAAATAATTTCTAAGATTTTTTTCCTTACATAAACTGTAAATAAAAAGTATATAAATAAGGAAATAAAACTTAATTAGTAACTATGTAATAAGATCCTTGGAACTTTACAAAACTGCATTCTATTTTGAAGAGATTTTAGTTAAACTAAAGAAACTTTCTAACTGGGAGTGTTTTCTGTGTATGAGTGTTAAGCAGATTTGTACTGGTTCATCCATAGACTTTCTACTGTTATGTAACTTCCTGCTTTCCTGCCTTGTGCCTAATTTATCGTGCTTATTCTTTTTCTTTTTTTTTTTTAATATATTTTTCAAATTATCGGGCTGCCCTATTCTGGGTTTTTTTGGGGGGTGGGATGTTGGAAGATGGGATTTATTTGTTTGGTTTTTTTTTTATACTGTATGTGAGGCAAATTAATAAAACACAAAGCACACTTACCTCTGTTAGGAACAAGACTGACTCTGGCTAAAGGAGTGTACAGATAATATCTTTTAAATTTACACCAACAGGTCCCAAGAATTGCCAGATTTTTTTCTCCACTTATCCTGTCTTTTGGAGTTGTCATTAAAAGACATATCAGGAGGAAGAAATACAAGAGCATTTAAGAAAAAGTATAAGTAATATTCTAGAAAATCTTAAGATTACTAACAGAAGCCATCTGAAAGGTCAGCTGATCTATCCTTTTGTTCAGTCAGAACTTCTTACAACTTAGCACCTTATACAGGGACCTAAACCTGTTTCATTTCCTTTAATAGCTATTGTTTCTCAACTGTTTTAACTTTATCTCATCTAAATTGTTTATTTTACCAGTTGCCACGTTATCCTTGACTCCTTTTTGTGGTGAGTGTTACTTGGTGGTAAGAGCTCTAGTTTTAATTTTGGGAACCCACCTGGGTCTCAAACTCAGCTCTACTTTGTGACCTTTAGCTAGTTACTTAACCTTTTTGAGCCCAGTTCCTTCATGGAGAAAAATAAATAACGATCCTTTGCTATTAATATTTCACAATGTTATTGTAAGGATCAATGAAAGTATGTGGTGGCCCATATTCTGTTTGGAGGTGTATAAACATTATTCATGCACAATAAAGCCAAAGTACACCTCTCAATTTTGTTCCTCTTTCTCTAATGATGTCCTAGATCAGCAGCCCCAAACCTTTTTGGCACCAGAGACTGGTTTTATGGAAGACAATTTTTCCACACATGGGGGCTTTGGGGGAAAGGGGTTTCAGGATGAGTCAAGCACACTATATGTATTGTGCAGTCAGATTTCTCTGCTTATGATGATCTGTATTTGCAGCTGCTTCCCAGCACTAGCATCACTGCCTCAGCTCCACCTCTGATCATCAGGTATTAGATTCTCATAAGGGGCACACAACCTGGATCTCTCACATGTACAGTTTATAGTAGAGTTCGCACTCCTGTGAGAATCTAATGCTGCTGCTGGTCTGACAGGAGGCAGAGCTCAGGGGTGATGCGAGCTGTGGGGAGTGGCTATAAATACAGATGAAGTTTTGCTGGCTCACCTGCTACTCACCTCCTGCTGTGCAGCCTGTTCCTAACAGGCCACACACTGGTACTGGTCTACCGCCCAGAGGTTGGAGACCACAGTCCTAGATGAATGATCCCATTTTTTTTCAATATTGTATGTTATGTTTGCCAACTTTGAAATAGTTTGTTTCCTTCTTGGGATCATATATTCTATCATGGTTCTACTATTACTTCAAGAAAACATTTCAACCTTTTCTGGGTCAAGAAATATATCTTGAAAAATGAAATACATTGCAATCAGCATTCTATAGTTAATGGCTCGAGCTATGAACTATAGCTAATCATAACCTAACTGTCATTTTGTTATTAAGGATCTAGCAGGGCTCCTCAAACTTTTTAAACAGGGGGCCAGTTCACTGTCCTTCAGACCGTTGGAGGGCCGGACTATAGTTTTAAAAAACTATGAACAAATTCCTATGCACACTGCACATATCTTATTTTGAAGTAAAAAAAACAAACGGGCAAAAACACCCACGTGTGGCCCTCGGGCCATAGTTGGAGGACGCCTGATCTAAGGAATGTTGTTGCATTGTACATACACATTATCTTAGAAATTCCTGTCTTTGCTTGCTTTTCCTCCCATAAGAGTATCTCCTTTTTGTTTTCTTTTTTAACCACTTCGGTACGGCGCTCACCGGCCGGGAAACTTTGACCACAGCTGGCACTCACAGTCCGCAGGATAGCTTGTGCTGTGCATTGACAACAAATCTGTTTTGCTCTTGTGTGATGAGGAAAGCTTTAAAGCACTGAAAGCTTGTTTTATTTTACAAGCAGCTTTACTTGTAATGTAAATCAGAATAGGTAACATATACATTTATGTTTTCATTAAATGTTCACAATTTTATTTTGATAAATGAAAAATTAGAAAAGTCATATCACGACTGTCAGCTAAAGTCAACGCTCGGCTGTGCACGTTCTTCTGTGGCTATCAACTATAGTTGAAGTCCGTACTGAAGTGGTTAAAGTAAAATCTTGAAGTCATATTTAGATGTTTGGAAGTCTTACAGTCTTCCTATAAAAATTCACGTTAAATATAAATATTTAATACAATATGGCCTTCAATTTTGAGTAGTAAAAATGGAAGATGAATTACTATAGTTCACTTAAATAGAAAATATATATTTGAATAGTTTCAATAGAATTTGGCTTACATGACCAAACATAATTTAATAGAATTTTTATTTCTCTTATTATTGATACTTTGAGGAAAAGGATCTAATTACAAGTAACCCGAGTTGTTTTCTTTATAGGGATGGGATGTTTTATTTTGATGCTACTTAGGTGTAAAGGATGTGTCTGAACTCTGCAAAACGTTTTAAAAATTCTGAGTTCAATTCTATAATATTAGTGAATAAATTATAAAGATCACCATGGAGGGGTCTGATAATATATGCTGATTTATATGGTTAGAAATCTATATAGAAATAATCAAGGGTAGTCTCAGGCTGCCTTTCCATTATCAGTCAGGCAAGCTTATTTTTAGACCATTTCTCTTTCATTGATTGGATGTAGGGTCTGGGAATACAAATAGATTTTAATGGTTTCATAAGGCAAAACTGCTGGAGGGAAAATTCATGTGCCCAATAGAAAATTTAGTACACCTGAAATATTTCTTATGTCCTTGTTGAAAGGATTTCTTAAATGGGTTGCTGGAGTCCATTGTCCTGGCTTGGTAAAGCATTTTAAAAATCAAGTTTAGATGGCTTATACCTTTGAAAGGAACTCATCATTCTAAATATCAATTACCAATATCAATTTTCACTGTTCAGAACTGCCCAAATACTCTTAAGTTTTTTGTTTGTCTAAACTAAATTTCCTGTTCTTTTAAAAATTTACCTTTTTCCTTACCTCTGGTCTCCCCTCCTGTCCTTTAATCTGAATAACCAAAAACATATATATTTTAAAAACAATACTTTAGGTGTCTTCTAACAATATTATAAAGTTAGTGAATTCTGTATTTAAGATAGAAAGATTCTTTTTCATTCACTTTTCATTACTAAAAATGATTACATGAATAAAATGACAATTTCCTATAAGAGAGGGATTGCTGAATGATTAAACTGCCAAGGGGAAAAAATGTCAGAGTAAAGTCTTGTAATAAAGATTACCTAGGTCCTGACAAAATTAGGAAAAAAGAAAAACTCACATTAGATTTGTTGAAGTTATACTCAAATGTGATTAATTTGTTTTATTTATTTTTTGTTATAGACAAAGCAAACCCCAAAACCTAGCCTAAGAAAAGAATTCTTATTCATTATTAAATGTGGTAATAAAATATGTATTGGTGGTGGTGAAGAATCCCACAAGCACTCAAGATTGACATAACCTTTAACAAAGTGGAAAAACTTTTATTAGAACTGCCAATTCTAGGTTCAAATTTATGTCAAAGCACTTTATGGTACCATAATTAGTACAACTAAATTTTTTTTTAGCTTTAAAATGTCATTTTTCACTAAATGACTTTAAATGAGACATTAGAGTTATTATTTGAGACAAGGATTTGTACAAGTTTAAATATCTTTGGTTTTGGTAAACTCCCTATTTCCTAATTATTGTATCTCTTTCACATGATTTTCAGAATTATTTATCCCATAGCATGTTTTCAAAGTTCTATGTGGTAATTTTTAAACTTCAAAAAAATCATCCTGTTCATTTACAAGATTCTAAAGATGGTGTGATATTAGACAAAGTACTTCAAAGCATTTGCCTAATTGTCACAATGTTCTTTTGAATTAATATGTAAATCAGTAATATTCTCATTAAAAGGTAAGAAAACTGAAGCATTGTAGAGTTAGGTTATGACCCAAGGCCAGAGTAACCAAGATGAAGAATCTAGGTATTCCAACTGCTGTTCCAGTGCACTTCTATTATTTGTATCACCTTGAATAAAACATAGCATTTAAAAATTTACAGTGTCATAATGCTGAGTCTCTACTGAGCAGGGCTGCATAATGTTAAATTTTAAAAAGAAAAATGACAAACCTAGGTGTTAAGTAGTAAAAGGATTAAGTATGGAGTTCTTTTTTTAAGATCACTGATGCCATTGTGTGAAATAAATTGCCTTACTAACGTCATGTTGTTCTTGACAGTGCTGAATAGAAGAAGTCTACAAAGAATGTTCTAAAGACCAATGGAACAATAATGTACCAGTAAGCTGGCACTAAGCTATACCACAATAAAAGTCAAACATATTGTATTGTGTGCTGACATACAATGAGAAGGGTGACATAAGTTTTCAATAATGTATTTTAGAAAACTGTTCATTTTTTGCTAATATTTATCTGAATATAAGATATATAAAACAAGACAAGGAAGCATTGAGCGCTGAGTCTTTTCATGACCAGTATCCAAAAGTCAGGGCTTTGTTTTTCCTCCTGTTTATGATGGTTATTAACAGAGCATTGGCTTTTCAGATGGTGCCAATCCTATGATGAGGCACTTGAAGAGTTTGAAGGTTAGGGCATGTGAAATATGGAGCTGGAAGAAAGCATGCTGCTATTCCATTGGAAGCAAAAGGGAGTGTAGGCCCATAGAATACTTCCTCTTTACCTTCTCTACTTACATCCAGTACCTGAAAAAGAGGAAGAAAAGAAGCCTGTATGTCAAAGACGATTGCTCAGAATAAAGATGTGTACACATAAAAGGAAGCCTGAACTTAAATTCCATTATGCCACCATCACTATACTTTAGGAACCTATTACTTTTCTTGCTAGGATGGTAACAAATATTTATTAACCTCCTACAAAGTGCTACATTATATGTTTATATGTGTACATATATAAACACACATGTGTTTATAATCATTTAATCCTTAGAACAGTGATAAGGTTAGTAGCATTATCCTTATTTAATAAAACTGCCTCAGACTGGTTAAATAACTTGCCCAAGCTAGTTAGTAGATAGTGAAGTGTCATAATGTTGGCTTACAAATCCTCACCTGTAAAATGAAGGGAACAAGGCATTGAAGCTTTGTTGTGAAAATTGATGACATCTAGCTCAGTGTCCAGCACGCAGTAGAATATTATAATACAGTTTAGCAGCAGGTTCAAAATTAGTTCAATCAATTCTGGAAATTTTGCCCCACTTATTTCCCACTCATTGCTGGTGTTCTGTGTCATATAGCACAGCTTCTTTGTTAGTCTGTGCCTGCCGTCACCTAACTATCTATTAATAGCTTAATCTTACTAGAAAAATTCTTCAGGAAAGCTGCTCTCCCCCCATTTGTCAAACCTACTAGGCTCTTTCCAACACTCTTCATCTTAATCTCTCTTCATCTGACTTTCCTCTAACTTCATTTAAAACCTTTCCTCCCTTGGATTCCATGATTTAAAAATAAATAAAAGTTTGTCATTGACATTTTCCTACTACAATCCACCTTTGGTCCCTTTTCCTTTACCTGCATCCCAAATATAGGTATACCCCAGTATTCCAACCACAGACCTCTCAGTACCCTTCTTTAATGATCTTGTCCCCTGTTATGCCCTCATCTGCCACCTGTGTGGATAACTTTTAATCCTTTAACTGCACTAATGCATTATTTTAGATAAAAGGGGCTCTTGTAATTTGGGGATCCAAGCTCATAAAGGAGGAAAATTACTAAGCTTTAGAACAAAAGAATGATTAAAGTTTTAGCTATTTTTCCCCAAATGGATATTTAGCTGTCCCAATCCATTTATTGAACAATATACCCTGCCACTACTAATTTTAAATAATTCATATATAAAATACAAACTTTTTCTCAGTTCTCTTTTGTTAATTTATGTATCTTCTTGCAATATCACATTTACAGTTGTTTTGACTGGGTATGCAAGACTCTCCATTTTCAAAAATCTTGATTATTCTAATATATTACTTTCCTAAAGAAACTTTAAGATCAGTTGATAAGTATCACTTCTCCAGCTGGTGAGAAAAGGAAAATCCCAATGGGATTTTCACTAGTAGTTCATTAAATTTAGAAAGTAAATTAGAGATCATTTGATATTTACCACAACTATATAAGGTTAGGTTTTGTTTTCAATTTATAGAAAAGAAGATTAAGATACAGAGAGAAGTGACTTTCTCAAGGTCACATGGCTAGTTGAGTGGTAGAGCCAGTATTTGAGCTCAAGGATGCAACACAGAAAGAGCAAGGATTTTGTGCCATTCATGATATCCCTCCCGCAAGTGAAAACATTTTTTTAGAAGGCAAAATCTCAGTGAGATAATCATCCAGAGAGCTTTTGTCTGGTTCCCTGGGCCAACAGAGACTGCATATGTTAAGCAGATGTAATGTATTTAATCTGAGAAGGGAAAAGGAAGCATTGGCAGTTCTTCTCCAAAACACTCCCCTGTAAACTGGCAGAAAGAAGGCGTTTGGGAGAAGGTGGTGCCAGCTTGGCAGCATATCCTCCAGCCAAAAGGAAATAATAGTAAATGAAGAGAACAGTAGAGGTTATCTGGAAACACAGACTAATCACTTGCACACTTATGCAGCTGCTCCCTTATGTGCCACTTGCCATCCATGGTGCACCAGATTAGAGTCAAACTTCTGTGCCAAACATTTGCTTACACGCCCATTAAGCAAACAGGGGCACCTTCATTTTTGTCAGGAATCTGTGTCCACTATTTCTATTAGTCATTATTACTAAAAAGTCCAAAGCTCAATCTAATTTAAGAGAACTCAGCTTTTCTCTTGTTTGGGTTGTCCTTGTGATGGATTAAGAAGTCTGCTAAATCGGGGTAGTAGCAGGAAATAAAATAGTATGCTTTTTCAACATCTGAAGTGCCTCATCCCAGAGTGGCTGAATCCCACAAATGACAGTTAAATGAGCTTGGATTAGGGTCCAGAACAGGCATTCCAATGAGATGAGTTACTGGCTGGTATTTTTGAGGGGGAAAAAAAAATGATTTTAATCCTTCTGAATGCTAATGGGGCAATCTCTGAACTATTTAAGTATGACCTCTGTTAATCAGCCATGCTCTTGGATGAATTGTGGATTAATTTTGGGATTACGGATTAGATTTGTGATTTAAGACGTGAAAAATTTAAACTTTTGATATTATCAGTATGCATATGATTTTCTTGACCACTCTCCTGTCCCTTTCAACCTGCTAACTTGTACTTACGAATTTCTGCTGTCTAACCAACATTTTCTCATAAAAACCATTCCAGTCTTCCTGTCTCCCATAATCTTGGTCTGTTGGATATTCTTCCAGCAAGTAGTAAAGAAATTGCCCACTTTTGAACATGTAGCCAGCCTCTCCAACCATCAATATATTACTGTTAGTGCACTGAAATAAATAGTTCTGTAGTTACCCAGAAAATAAAAAAATATTTGAGCCTTAGTTCAGAATGAGTGATAACATAACCTGTAACCAGTTGTCAATACCTAAAATGAAAGATATTCATGATGTATGATGTCTATTATCCATGAAGACTTCTATTCTAAATGTCTCTTTGACAATCCATATGCTTAAATGGACACTTATTATCTATTAATAGTAAAAGGCTCTTAAAACTTTTATCAAATTTGTCTGTGCTTTGTAGGACCAGTGTGCCAGCCAAGGTAGTAAACACAGCATTGGCAAAAGGATTGATTCTGCTCATCAAAATGGCTACTAAACACAGAACTACCCATCATGTTGACTTTTTTTAAAAACCAAATATATTAACATTTTATTGTATGATCTCAGAGGTGAAATTTATTACATAAGTATTGATTTAAAAATGTTTGAATCCCCTTTTAGAATCGCCTTAATCCTGGTAATACTCTTGAATATCCTCAGTGTTTAAAATATACACTTGTACTCCCTTCACCTCTTGAGGATAGATTTGCTTGTTTGGGAACAGTCAGACACCATTAGCAATTAATTAGTGTATATGATTAGTGATTGTTCTAAAGAAAAGTTCTTTGGGGACAAAGAAAACAATGACTGTCAAGTTTTTTTTTGTTTCTATTTTTGTTGAATTTTCTATGTCTTACAAGCTAACTTTCAGGACTATTCCAAAATAGGCAATATGCAAAAATTTTGAACTATGGCAGCACTTCGGTCTCCTAAATCTGATACATACAAAGTGTTCTTTATTTTCTCATTATGTTATAGCTTCAACTTGTTTTCTATCTCTTGAGCTAATTTGATACTAAAATTATAGAAATATACCCACAAATGTATTTAAAATTTGCAACTTTACTTCCTGATAAACCCAAACTTCCACTGTGCAAGTAATCAAATGAAGGGTCCGAAAGCCACTTAAAAAACAGCATTCCGGCACTACAGAGCACTACCTATTACCCAATTCAAACTTTTATGAATTCTGAAAAGTAAAGTATAGAAAGAAACCTAAAAGACTATGAAGACTGCCAAATACAGGCTTGGACAAAGACTAGAAAGAAACACTCTTTGGGAGAAAAGAGTTTGGTCATTTGTTGTTATCCAAAAGATATGACTAAGCTCTAGTACAAGGCAGCCTTCAATCAACTAACTAAAACTAGTACAAGGCAGCCTTTAAATAACTCCCTTAAAGTCTTATGTGGCTTTTTTTCTTGGCATGGCTTTGATAATTTTTTCTACTATATTATTGTTTTTCTAGTTCATTAATTTCCTCTCACTTTTCTCTCTCCTACTTTCTTTGAGTTCATTTTTTTGGTTTGTTTTCTAACTTATTAAGCTATATCTATCCCACAAGCTTTGCTATATATTGTTTTCATCATCACACAGTTCTGGGAATTTTTAAAAGTTCCACCATGACTTCTTTAACCCATAAGTTATGTTGCAATGTGTTTTATTATTTCCAGATATATATGGGTTTATTTAACTTTCTGTTAAATTCTAACTTAATTTCATTGTATTGGAGACACATAATACTATATAATACTTAAAATTTGAAATTTATTAAAGTTTCCTTAACCCTAGCACATGATTGGTTTCTGTAAATGCTCCATGTATGCAAGAAAAATATATCCTCTCTAATTGTTCAATTCAGAACTCTCATCCATTTGGACAAGCTTGTTAATTATATCTCTATCCTACTCCTGCTGATAGTTTTTTCTGCTTGACCTGTATGAATAATTGAGGTATATTAAAATCCCCAGACAAACCTCTGGCAAGACAAGTCAAGAGAAGAAAAGACAAACAATTTTATGAATGTAAAGGGAGATACAACTAAGGATAACATCAACTATATGTTAGCAGTTTTGAAAACTTAGACATGGAAGTTTTTTGAAAATGTAAGATGTGACTGAAGAAAAAACACAAAGCTTGAATAGTTCTGCAACTACTAAAGATATTAATGCAGTTGTTAAAAATCTTGCCACAAAGATGAGATTAGATAATAAGGATATACTTTTCTGGAGGTCAGGCCTAATACATATCAATACTTTATCACAGAACATGTAAAACAGAAAACTATGATAAAAACTGGAAAATAATAATAGGAATAACACCATAAATATGTACATCAACAAAGACTATCATTGTTCTGAAAGGTCCAGCTGGCAACCTGCCCAGCCTGGGCTGCTCACATGCCAAAGTGCCAGGGCTACGCTTTGGGGCAGAGGCTGTCCCTGTCAGACCAGTCACAAATCACCGCTGCTCACAGCCTCTGCCAAGAAGGAAGAACACCTCTGGAGGTGGCATTTGTGGAAATGAACAAATTACGATATAAAATATCAGGCAATGGCATGGAAAGGAGACATTTGTAAAATTTTTAGAATTTTTTGGTTTATGGGAAAGGAGATGGTTTCCCCTCTTTCCCCATTTCCAGTATATATTACATATATTTTCAACGTTCCTTCCCACCTTTATTTTCAATAAGCTTCAATCATTTATTAGACATCATTTTTAGGATACAGGATGAAGTTTAGTGGCTGAATTAGCTGTACATAAAAAGGGACACTGAGCCTCTTTCTACATGTATATATCTCTTTCTCCAGTAGCAGCATTGGTAACCTCACCGAACCACTTGAGCAAACTTCAAAAGGAACGTCAGCGACTCACCTGGATACAAGCCAGAGGCTCATTTGTCCAAATTGAATATCCACCAACTAAATATATTCTCCCATTATGAACAGCAACTCCAGATTCATTTTGGCCTACAGTAAAGAGAATTGAATACAAAGAAAAAAATAAATCCATTTTTTGCATGTTTTAATTAACCCTTTTGCCACTAAGAGATACAATTTCCCCCTGTGGCACACTTGTACACACCATGGGATTTTTGCAGCAACTAATCACTGCCTCCTAGTACTTGGAAGAATTAAGCACTATTACTCAGAGAATAAATCTGTGCTGGGTCAGAACCAAGCCAAAATACGTATTAGCTAGCTGAGTTAGTAAATACAGTGATAGTAAGCCATGCATAACTAAGAGTTCTGTACTATGTTGTACGCTATTGATTTATAGTGGTTGAAATAAGATATCTTTTAAAAATGCAAAACATCTCTTGTACTTAAAAATGCTTTTTAGGCACGGGTTTACATTTGTAAAGTAACAGCTGCAACCCCAAGAAGCCAATAAACCAGAGCCATGCCCCAAATGAAGACAAATGACAGAAAAGATGGATAAAGTTGCTATCCTCCCTTTCTTTGCATACACAACAGTTTTAAGATAATATTAAAAGTTCCAGAGCTGGGACCATCCTGGATAATCCCTAGATTCTGACACACCAAAATGATAAAAGGTTTCCTCTCCTATTTCAAAAAGAAGACAGAATAACTCACTACCACATATTCTTCCCTTGAGGCCATCAGAGAGTGAAAGAGTCTCTTTTTATTGATGGGCTGACAGAGGACTGACTGGAGTAATAAATAAGGTGGATCCTACAGCAGGCAGAATCACAGAGCCAGGACGAAGGGCCTAAGGTACCAGTAAAACTTAAGAGTTCAGTTCTTGTTGGTGGGCCTCAAAAATCATTTTGCTAACACAGGAGCTCAATACAAAGCATCCAAACCTCTGGTTATGCTCCCAACGTTGCCTACCCCAGCAGCAGCTCTGACTGATCGAGTGCCCACTCAGCATGTTAAAATGTCTTTAGGAATTAATCCAACCCACCGTTTTGAGTCTGTGATTTGAGCTGCCCTGGAAGGGACCAGATCGCTTATGGATGTTAGTAACGCAAGCTGACAAGAGGGAAAAAGTTTCCAACCCCTAAAGAAACAGGAAGGGTAGGTTGTTCAGTGTTCCTCTGAGGGTGGGGAACCTGCAGCCTCATGGCCACATGTGGCCCTCCACATCCGCAAGTGCAGCCCGTCAACTGAATCTAAACTTCACAGAACAAATCCCTTTATTAAAAGGATTTGTTCTATAAAATTTGGATTCAGTCAAAAGGCCACACTCAAGGATCCAGAAGGCCACGTGTGCTCCCAAGGCCACAAGTTCCCCATCCCAAAAGGTTTCATTTGTAGGATAATATACCCAGAAACAATATTTGACAGTGACAAATAATGAAGACCATTCTCTTGAACTCACAAGAAATAAAAGTGGACTAAAAGCAGTGAGAAGTAAAAAATAAATTCCTTCTCTAAAGAGTTATTAACTCTTTCAGTGCCTGCTTTCTCCTCTCTGTGTCAAAGTTCCTATGTTAATACTGATTGGCAATAATGGACTTTATGTGGCCCTAAGCCACATGGGGACATGTGTAAAGGTAACACAGGCACTGAGAAACTCAGTGCTCAGCCACCTGAATGAGTTCAGTTTTGTTGTGAAATAAATAATGCACACCTTTCTGGTTAATAAATGCTAGTTGTTCTACTGTGCACTTAATTTTTAGAGATGCACTGAGAATGTCTAAGAATCAAGTTGGGCAACTTCTTGAATCTCTGTTTTTTCTACTTTACTTAATCAAAGGTACTTGCCAGTCAACAGGTTGAAATTACAACGCGTCCACTGGTCAGTGTCTATGTTATAAGAATCTATATGGCGTACAAGGATCCGGTCATTATTGTAGTCTAGATCATTGCCTCCAAGAACATAAAGCTTCCTTTGAACAGCAGCCATGGAATGGTAGACCCTTCTCTGTAGCATGGGGCTGCGGCTTATCCACTTATTCTGAAAAAAAGAAGTTCAAGTGCATTCTGTTAATCGGAGACCTGCGTGGCAGAAAACAGCAGTCGGTGCCTCATTAGTGAAACCCTAATATTTATCAATCACATTCTATCTGAATGTTTATATACATTGAAAGGTAGAAGCATCTTACATGAAAACAAGTAAAGAACCACATATTCTATTTTCCTACTGACATAAGGCATTTCCTCTTCTTTGTGGTTGCACTTTATAGTGCATTTTGCATTTTATAGGAGGAACACTCAAATTTTCTTAATGCTTATCTCACCCAATTAAGAGAATTTACTCATACACATTACTTAAGAGTGAAAGCACACAGCTAGGTATACTGTGTATAGTGGTGTAAGAATTAAGAAAACAGTCTTTGGATCCAGAGTGAATGGGTTTAGAACCTGTGTGTAATCTTGAACAATTTAACATCTCTGTGCCTGTTTCCTCAGCTGTAAAATGGAGATAATAATACCTACCTGATAAGCCTGTTGTGAAGATTAAATGACCTAATACACACAAAGCACTTAGAAAAATGTCAGCAGATAATAAATGTCCAATACATGTTCACGTTTTTTAAATTACTGTGATAATAATCACTGGGTACCTGAGGCCCCTACATAAGCCAGGGTAAAAATTAACCTGAGATCAGTGGAGGAGCAAAGATTTAGTTGAGCAATAAACCTTATTACACTTATATACTTATATACACTTCCTTTGTATCAGCCTCCTTTAACATATTTATAATCACATCTTCTGCCAAATGGGGAAGTTATTTCTAGGCACACATTTATTTGTTTTGGTAGAAGGCCAAGTTTTATATGACAACTTTAAGGAATGGTGAAACCTTCAATATTTGGTTCTAGGTCACCCTCAATAATGAGATGGGAAAGGCTCCTCTTGTAAAATTAGATGAAAATCAAATATGACTTTAATTTTAAATCTCAACTAAGTAATGGACAGGTAAGTAAACCTAACCATTTTCTTTCCCCATAAACACTAAACATATATAGGAAGAACCCAGATTCCTTTTTGCCAAAAAAAAATTTGGATTTCGGCCAGAAAAACAAAATCATACGATGTTTTGAATACATAGAATTTCACCATTTCACAAAGCTGTAAGGGAAGAAGCAAAAGCAACAACAAACATGTTTGTATAAACATTGTTCCATTCACTATAGGCATATCTACTAGCTCATTTCTAATTTCTCTTTTAAAGATACACTCCAGAAAAAAAAAAAGTGATTTGTACAGTTTGAGAGGCTTTCATTTATCTGCTCCCCGTTTGAACATGTCATAATAAGAATCTCCTTCCAATAAAATATCTTCTTTAATAAAACAGTCAAGCCTTTCTTTCAGATATTTTGTTAACAAATATCTTTAATACACTGAGTGAATTTAACTCAAACTCTGATGATGCTTTTCTTAGGTGTTTTCCGTGAGACAACCCATTAGTATTAGGAATCAATGTTTGTATTAGCAGTCCGGTCCCCTGCCACAAGACTACAGATGCCATCTGGTTTGCAAAGCCTGCCTGCATCCCCTGATTATATCTTTAGCTTCCTTCACTGCAGTGCCTGCCAGGTGAGCCGCCAACCGCTGCAAAGGCAAAGAAACAGAGAGGCCTGGTGGGGTCATTCCTAATAAGCTAGCGTGTGAATACTAATCAGTGGTGGGGAAGCAGAGGTCACCCCAGCCTGCCTGTTGGCAGGTAGCGATGTGCTCTGTGGCAGATGGCAGGCATTATCGACTCTCCACAAAGGCCTAGAAGAGAAATAAGCACCAAGGCTGAATGATAGAGTTATTGAGATTCTGAGCAAGATGCAAGCAGATGTGATGTTTGCCAGTACCCACCGTAAACAATATGCCAGCAGAATTTTTAAAAAGAGCATGTGTGTACAAACATCAAACAGAACTCATTTGAGAAATGTTAACACCTTCTTCCTCTTTAACCACGTGTGCACCAAACTCAAGCAACTCCAATTAATGATCCCTCTTGAGACAGCTGACCCCTGGACATTTGGTCTCTGAAATCTACAGCTTCTAATGACATCAGGAAACATTGCAAATAGAAAAATGCCTTCATTAAATTCAGAATCAAGTAATTGTTAAAATCAAAAGATACCAAATACACTGAGGTCACTTTGGACATACATTTGGTAGCCAATCCTGACTCAGACTGTCGAAGTCAACCTGTTATTTCATATCCCATTATCTTCACCTGATATGAAACTTCCAAATCAAATCATTTTGAAATATCATCATAATCAGGAAAAATATTTATATTACCTACATCACAGAAATGGAAAAATTCAGCAGACATTTGCCAAAGTCATAAATATTTTGGTAGAAGGAAAAGAGAATAAAAATAGTTCTTTTGGGGGAAAAAAACCTCATTAAGTGGGCATGAGAAGTGGACAGAAGGGACAGGCACCACCAAGATGCTTCTAATTCAGTCTCCAGCTGTGAGATGAAAAGTCTTCAGCTACTTCTACTTCAGACTACTCCTAGATACTATTCTATGTCATTCTGGCTATATTAAGTTAAATAACATTTATTATTTTATTTAAGAATAATGAAACCCATAAGCATGTTCCCCTCCAAGAATGGCACCCCTTCCAGAAGGACACAGCAACAGGACAATCAAAACCCTTTCTATATTATGCAAAACTCTAAAAGAGTGACACATTGTATAGAGCATAAAACTAGAGAAGCTGAAATTTTGTAACAAAAAAATAAAGAAGGAACCAAAAAGCAGTGTAACCAGATGCTTCCTATTCTCTATATAAGCTTAAGATGCATGTGTGTGTACACACTTGGCATTCCAATTACTAATTACTGTGAAAATCTTTTAAAATTAATTTTAATTAAGGTAATAAGCTTTTCTTATATGATTCTTACCTGGTTAGGTTCATATACCATTAGTCTGTTCTGATACTGTGCCGTGTTAGTTACTCCACCTGTAATGGATTAACATGTGTTAGAGCTTTTCATGAATAAGAAATAGGATATTTCAACATAAGAATGAGATACAATTAAAGGAAAATTAGCTACTGCTGAGGATCTGTTTGTATACCCTCGTGGTGAACCCATGACATAATTAAAAAGCTTATTGTTGAAGCAGTTTCATTTTCAAGAAACATTTCAGAAGCAATCCAGTTGAGAGCAAGCAACAAGTATGCTGGCATTACCAAGAGGCCCCCAATTCTGGTGAGCTGCTCTGCATGGCCAGAATGAGGGGCAAAGTACAGGGAGAGATTTGGGGGTGAACATAATATACACAGACAAATCTCTATACAATTTATGCCAGGGACACAGTCACATGGAATATTCTTGTCCTCAGCTAAATTGGCAGTTTTAAATGCTCAAACCTCTGTACACTAACATAGTAATTATCTTGATATCTCCTTAGAAGAACCATGTTTAACAAAAGGCATTATTTATGAAAAGGGATCTAGAACCAGTGCTGTACAATAAAATATAACAAGAGACACAAATGTAAGTCACATATGCAATAATAAATTTTCCAGCAGCCACATTAAAAAAGGAAAAAGAAACAGTGAAATGAAATGTAATAGCGTTTACCTTGATATAGCCAAAATATTATCATTTCAACATTAAATCAATGTAAAAATTATTGAGATATTTTATATTTTTTCCATGTTAAGTCTTCAAAATTCAGTTTGTATTTGACACAGCACATCTCAATACAGATTAGCCACATGTCAAAGCTCAATATGGCAAACAGCTACCGTATCGGACAGCTCAAATCTAGAGTTCTCCAGTGCAACTGCTGTTGTGGTCAACTCTTTTGAAGCCCTCTTCACAACTGCTTATATCCCAGAGACTTGAGACCTTTTGCTTAATCAAGAACCACTAAAAAGTCATCACACTTCCCACTAAGTTTCTCCTATTTGTCCTCATATTTCTTTCATACTCATGGTGTACACTGAACCCTGTAAAACCCAGAAATTATTAATTTTGCTTTAATTTTTACCATCAAATGGAAAACAACTCTATCAAACACATAAAACAGTATAATAAGAAAATAACACCAGTGGATATTAAATGTTAGGTAACAAAATAATGCGGGACCAAAAAAATCTATCTTTAGAAATATTGCCTTATACATAGTTCTAGAGACACTGGTTTAAGAGGACTAACATTCTTATTTTAAAAAGTATCACGAATAAGCAGCCAGTTTTTCAATAAAGATGTAAAATTGAGCCAGACTAAAAGAAGTTTCCTACTTAAATTTTTTCAATTTAAAAAATATGAACTGTTACAACACTCACCAAGATGGCCTTAACATTACCGTCAGCTTGACTAAACAGGCTGCTTCCTGACTCTAAGCCCAGGACCTTCCTTTTCTTAGAGCATTTACTTTAGAAAATTTATAAATTCTTTCTCTGCATCTTTGAGATGTAAATCATTTTAAAAGCTGCTTGCCAGTTTTACAACCCAAAAATATCTTCCTGGAGAACCCTGGAGCCATCCTTTTGAAATGTAATCATCAAGATAGATAGTTCTAGAAACTGCCCTATGTCCCATTTTCCATAGGTGGGTAAGACCCTAATTTTGATGGGCGCCAATTAGCAAAAACAGATGGTCTAATCACAGAGAAAAAAATTGCAAACTCAGGAATAACTGGGATGTGTTCAACATATCCATTGATTAACTTTCCCCCCAAAGTTCCTCGGTACTTTCCCACTAGCTCACCCCAGTGCTTAAAACCTATACTCTTAAAAACCTCTTGTTTTGATGGAGTTAATTTCAAACTACATTCTGATCTCTCTCCCCTATTGCTATAGTTTTGAATAAAGTCTTCCTATCTGTTTAACTTTATCTGGTGCAAAGCATCTTTGTGCTTTGAGGTTCAAATACTTTGAATAGTCACCACTATCAACCCCATGGCCAGGAGTCAAGTCAACCAGAATCTAAAGAATTAGTGCCTAATCCTCAACTGAGCTGCAATGATCAATCAATACTAATAAGATAAATAAAAGGGATGGAACCTATCTAGGCCAATCATTACTCTCTCACTCAATCCCAATAAAGAGATTATATGTTCTATGCAAGTGGCCATGGCTATTATTAAATAGAGGGCTATTTTTTTATTCTCTCCGAAACTTGAAGATTTAAGACTTTAAAAATCAACAAAAGCTTTGTCTGCAGAGGAAATCCACAAAGAACAGAAAGAAATGAGTTTCCTACTCTCACAGAAAGTCTCTGTATTTCTTGTTGAATTTCTCATTTCTAAAATGAAATCAAAGGAAAGGAAAACACACTTAGGAAAAGTATAAGTTGATAAACATTTGGGTTATTTAAAGAAAAAAACAAAACAAAAGGATTTTTAAAAAAGAGAGGATAAAATGACTAATAGAGGCAAGATGTGTGTCAAAATAAATACAGAAGTGTATTTGCTCTTACCCCCAACCTTCCCTTTCTTATATGACTTAAAATGAAATGTTTAGTAATACTTTCTCAGCATAAGCGCACAAGAATAATCAAATCTATTGAGGCCTCACAAGTCTTCAGGGTTAAAATGATTGCCAGTGCTTTTGATTTGGGCCACAGTCAACAGATTAATGTCCAACTTGCCTATGAGCATTTCTACAATTAAAAGGGAACAGAGAGTAATGCTCTACCCATTACTTTAAAACTTTGTAAGTTTCTCTACTTGTTTTAGAAGTATGGGACAGAATTAATACCTACTGCAGTAAACTGTTTTATGACACTATTTAAAAATATTTACACTACCATATGTATCAGACTCTGCCCATTATAGATTAAATGTACAACCAATGGATTATAACGTAGCTGTTACATTCCCTCTCCCAAGCAGGGCATACAATTCATCTCCGTGTTCTTTAGAATTATTATTTACTATCTTCCACAGATGCATCTATAATACTTCTCTTAATCTGTAGTCAGTAATTAGATTCCTTACCCTTACATAAAAATTTTCACTCAGAAGACAATGTTTAGAAATGAGGTATTAGGTTGCCAGTTGAGAGTAAAAATAAAAGTCCCAGTTAGTTATTGGGTTGATTACCTCTAGAATGTAAAACCACAGGAGGTGCTTAACAAACCTAGTGATGTAACTTTTGCCAAGTCAGGATTTCAAAGAAAACTTTGGAAATTCATTCTATTGGTTTCCCCTTTGAAATAATTTATAAAATGAGCATATAAATAAACACCATTTCTACTCACTATAGAAAAATAAATCTTAAAAAAAATCATCCAAGTTTGCAGCCCACACTTCTTTAGCAGTGTTACTCATTTGTAGAGCTTTATCATTACATTCCCTTCACATAACACTCTTCACTTTTAGATTAATCTGCCGAAATGAGATGCTAAGGATTTGCATACAGATTTGACTATACAAAAATAGATATGGAATTAATAACAGTCTCTATATGTTTTAATTTCTCCTAGACTGGAGTACCCTTGCCTGCAGCAGTATTCCTGGCTTTCAAAGTCATCAAGCTGATTTGTCTGCTCTGGGTTATGATGCCACATGCTGCTATACTGTCCCCTGCAATCAAAGCACTTGCAAAGATAGATTCCATGCCTTCCTCTATCGAGTATATTTTATAGATTGACAGTTTTGATCTCCCTCCCCCACCCCAGGAGGGATAATCTGCATCTTAACAGCTTTCTATAGATACATCTGTCATTAAATATGCCATCTTGTATCAGCATCCATTTTTAAAACCAAGTTTTCTCTAACTTTGAAGTGCCACAAAGTTAAGACTTTTCAGCCGAAACTGAAAATAAGCAACCCCATCTCATACTTTTGAACTGTGACTTAAAGATATACTGTAGGTTCCCCCAAAGTCAAATAAGTCTTTAAACACTGCCAGAAGGAATAAAAAGTTACACCATGCTATCAGCAGTGAGAAATGCTTTCTATCATCGAGACAAGAGTAAAGCATTTTTCTTAAGCCTCCCTGTACAACTCCCCACGAGATGTTGTGACAAATGGAGAATGAATGTATAGCAGAGAGAGGATGACAAGTGACTGCCAAACAAGCAACCTTTGCCTCTGCCACCAAGATCACCGACTGACTTACACTCATACTATGTTCAAAAGCAACAACTGGTCAATGCTGACAGTATCTATAAAACAGAGTCCACAGAAAAACTGCTCTTATTATATTTTGGTGAGGGTCAAGTCTGATGGCTCCACTAGTCTTTTTTCAAAGGCAGAAAATACTTCTGTTAATAAAGAGTCTTACATACTAAACTCTAGGAGTAAGTAGCTGCCTGTGGTTCCCCATGCAGCGCTACTGCACAAGCAGGATGGAGCAGGAAGCAAAGAAGCGATCATCTCCATGCTCTTAGGCTGGAGCATGCTCTAGGTTGGAATTCTACCAACAAGTTCAGGATTGAGGAAAACTATACCAAGTTCTTTGTTACTCTCCTGGAGGCCTTCAGGGGCCAGCTTCACACTAGTCTAAGGGAGGAGTTTGGGGACAGGCTATGGCATTAACATCGGCTCCTTTATGACTGTCCTTGGGGAAGCCGTTTAACATAACCAAGCTCAGATTCCTAGCATGCAAAACAGAGAGGATGATACCTCTCTCTTAGGTTTTAGAAGAACTAGAGTGCGTGGCACAGAAGCAATCCATAGAGGGACATTTACTATAATATTGTAGCTGTTTATCAAAATTTCTTACCCTTTCCATGAAAGATACAAGTGACTATGTGTGGAATATTGAATTAATAAATTAATTTTGCAGTCAGATTTCTTGTATTTCTTTTTCTCAAAATCAGAATTTCTAGCTAGTTTATATGCATATCCAATGGCTTTTTCCTTCTTTAGTAGTTTAAGCTCCTCCTCCCAAAATCTGCTAAAATTCTCAAAAGACTAAAATTTCACACTTAGAGTTTAATTAATAAGTATGAGTTCGTATTAGTCACTGTTTATAGAGCTAAACTCATTATCAGCCCTTGA